AATCTGAGCAATTCAAATTCAATTCCTGCTGGCACAAGATTTATCCCATACCTAGTGACAAAGTGAGTGCTGGGAAGCAATAATGCAGGGCAGGCCGTGGCTGTTAAAATGAAGATGTTAGTTTGACTGATATATTTTAAGTATAATTTAGAACACAGGGTAATTGATTTAGACTCATAAACATGCAAGTGCAACTGGCATCTGTTAATCATCAAATTTAATCTTTATCAGGTAAATGTCACAATTAATTGTAATTCTCTTTTTTTGTCAATATCATCTAACCCTCGTTGTTGACTCAGAATTGCCAGAAATCGGTCTCGTTGAATTCTTAGTGCAACCAGTGAGCTGCGCTTTATGCAGCCATTTTCAACAGTGTTCACCACATGAGAAACTCCATTCTAAGCCGAACACTATATTTTGATACTTGATGACACCTTATAGAAAGTGACAGCAAAAAGGTTCTCTCCCTCCACAAGTAGAAACATGCTCTCAGCTTGCAGACAGTGTAGCTCCTGCAAACGTCATTTTCCCCTTTAACTTTGTACAAGATGAAGAACATCCAAACAGTGTCTTTTAATTCAGAAAGCATCAGTTTTTTTCGACATTCATAAACTGACCCCTGGAAATTCAACAAATGAGCATAATTCCTAAAGCACTACTTCACTCACACTAGAGAGAGAGAAAGAGAGAGGAATCCAGGTGAGTCAGTGATTCCCAGGACTGGTGGCTCTGGATACTCCCAGTTCAAATATTAGCTGGTATGGATATCGTACTAATGATTTTATAGACTTCATCATTGTCTCTGAGCATACAAGACAAACAGGTTTTATATCTCCCAAGGAAGATTAAAGGCAAAAGAGTATGTCTAGTCTGAACTTCTTTTTTATTGACATTCATAATTATTTGTTTTCCTCAGGTGTTGTTTTATCAGCTTTTTACTTCCTCACTGTCCCATTTGTATTGCATGTAACAACGCATGCATGTTTAAAACAGAGGTTCGTTGTGCAGAGTATTTGCAAATGTCTTTATTCTTACTTGTAGTCCATCACAGGTGTGTATTTCCTGCTGCTTATTTTGTTATTGTTTGGTTTGGTGACAGTTAAAAAGCCTTGGTCAGGTTTTATTAGAGATTTAGACCCTGTTTAGTCGGCTTTAATCAAACTCTAGTTCGTTTGCCTAGAAAGTCCGATTTATTTGGGGAGGTGTGAATGTGTAATCGAACTCTGATGCAGACCAAAAAAGCGATCCCTGGTCCACCTGCTAACCCAGGTCTTGGTTTGGTTAAAGTAAGCTCTGGTGCGGTTTGAACACATGCACGCTCAGTGACTTTTTCAAAGTTTTTGTGTCGTTTCCTTCAGTGCTTCTTGGTGCGGCGCCACCACAGGCGAGGGTGCGAACATGTTGTTCACATTAGTCGCTTTGACACAGTGCAGTGTGAAAGCAAACCACACCAGCTGAAAATGTAATCAAATCTTGCAATTTTGGTACCCAGTTGAACTGAACCTACTGGACTATCAGGTGTGAAAACAGAAATGTTGGTTTGCTAATGAGAAGTCCCTTGAAAAAAAACAGACTTGAACTCAATCAATAAAGGCAGGGTGGGCACAGTGCCAGTGATTGGAGACCACATAATGAAGGACATTTTGTTTCTTTTTCTTATCTAGCCATATTTTAAGGCCTCATTTTGTTTCCAAAGAGCAGGTGCAGACATAAATCCTGACTGTTTTCTTGAGAGAGCAGTCCAGCGTAATGTGATGAGAGTGAGCAAGAAGTAGAGACAGAGATATTTAGCTGATTACTATTCAGACTGAGTGCCTGTGGGGTTGAGGGGAAGAGCAGTCTTACTGCAAATCGAATAATCCAAAGCCAGAAATCGTGAGTGTTTTAAGAGTGAAGGGGAAGCGCAGCTTTGATGTTTTGGCGTTGAAAATGAATGAGGATGATGCAACTGTTCAGTCAGGACAAGCGATGGTTTGATTGTGACCTGCACCGTTGGGACAGACCTGACTGGGTCGATGTGGGAAAGTGTGTTAACAAGCAAAGCCCTCTTCTCGGTGGAGCTGTGTCCTGCCTTTTAAGCAGATTTTGTCCTCTGAGTGTAAGCTGAAGCAGACAGGTTTAGCATCATGTTTTTGTTTATGAAATACTCTTTTTTTTCATGCAACACATTCAATCCAATATTTAGTTTTTACCAACGCATCAGTTTCCCCCCTCTGTTTTTCCCAAGTCATTTCCACTCTAACATCACATTGTTCAGTGATGGCATGCTCTCCTTGTGCTGAAGTTTAACCCTTCGTCTCCAGCTGCGACTACATATGGAGGACAAACGGATGAATTCCACATCATCCAGATGGAGGAGTGATTACTCTGTTTCATTTAATGCATGCAGACCCCTCCCCCCATCGCTGTCTCCTCTCCTCTCGCTCTGTCTTTCTGCAGAGAAATCGCCTGCTCACATAAGCTAAAAATAAATCATGTGACTGGGCGCAGCCAACTGTAACATTCATGCATTACTTATGGAAGTGTTTGCTTTTCTTCTAGTTTTCCTCTCAGAAATAAAAGTGCGTCGCCTCTCGGGTTACATCCTCTAAACAAGAGAATCTCTTTTTTTTCTATCTGTGAATCTATGGTTGCAGCCGCACTGTTGTGGTTTTCTTGCATAGTTGGGCAGAATACTTGAAGGCTGATTATAGTTCTTCTTTCGGCTGTTCCACAGAGAGTCCTCCTCCATCTACCTCCATGTCTTTTAACTACATCCATACGTCTCCTCTTTGTCTTTTTCCTGGCAGCTACATCTCTAACATCCTTCCACCAATATATCTACAGTCCCTCCTCTGGACATGTCCAAACCATCTTAGTCTGTCCGCTCCAACTTTACCTAGTAGTTCAACCTGTGCTGTACCTCTGGTAATCTCATTCCTAATCTAATCTATCTCCCAAAGAGAACCTCAACAGCTTCAGCTCTGCCACTTCCTGTTCGTCTCCTGGCTTACTGTCTCTGATTCGAATCATACAACAGCTGCTCTCACTGATTTCATCTTGTAAACATTTCCTCTGGCCTTTGCTGCCACCCTTTTGTCACAAATCACTCCTTTTCTACATCCAAAAACATGCGCAATAGGTTCTGTTCAGGCCCAGGCCTCCTTTGCAAATGAGATCTATGATCTCAGTGGGATTTTCTTGGTTAAATAAAGGTTAAATAAAGGTTAATAATAAATCCACTCCATCTTGCCTCATCTCTCTTCTTCACCTCTTTACCACACTTCCCATTTTCCTAGACAGCCAACCCTAAAAGTATTGAAGTCTGCTTATGCGCTTAATGCAAAAAAGTAAGACAGTTTGTGTTAGGTAGATTATTTCTTTGTTGTAACAATTTTTTTGATAATAATGTTTATTATTGGTACCTGATTGGCAGCACCTAGGGATACAAGAACCTCAAAACAAGTGTCAATAACAGCAGAATAAGCTGTTCGGCAGAGGAGATATGGCTAATTTTTCATGTGTGCAACCCACATACATATATCTACTGTTCATCCCACAGATGCATGTTCCTTACAAATGTGGCACCATTTAAAAGGGAACTTAACAGACTTTTCAACAGTATAAGACTTATTGCTAAGAAGCATTGCTACAACAAAGAAATAATCTACCAAACACAAGTTTCCTTACTTTTTGTGATAAGTATAGATTGTATCGAAGGGCCACACATCTCTTTCCACAGCCACCACTTCCAGCATTTCTGGGAGAAAGAAACGTTTACTTTAAAAGTCACTTAAAGGTCACATTTTTGCGTGTTTTTTGTGGTCCCTGAGTATTAAATTATCCAGTTGTGGAAAACCATAAATCCCCAGTACTCAAGTTTATTATTATTATTATTATTTTAATAAGCATCTGTGTTGTTTTTTCTTCTTTTGCTCTTAGTTGGTCTATTTTATCCGTTGTGTATTTGGTGCCACCTTCTGAGAGGAGTTTAACTGCACAGTGCTGTTAAAGCACAGCTGACAACATTCCCATCAGCACAGACCTCACAGTTGTACGGATGCTGAATCATGAATGCAGCCTTTGTTAAACTGATGATAAAGTCCTCTCATTGTCTTTAATGATCTCAGATGTTTTAAATAAGGAATTTTGACTCAGATGTTGTCATGATTTTTTGATGTAAAATTTCTGTCTGAAGACGACGGCTTTATTCCTCGTTGCAGCAGGGCTTGTATTAGACCTGGGGTTTATGAGGTGTCGGAGCAGGAACAGGCAGACATGAATCACCACTCGTTGCTTTGGGAAACGAGAGGCCAGGCTCCACAGATGGATTTTTAGTAGCTCTGAAAATGTGACAGCTTTGCCCTCAGTGGAGTTTGGCAGTGACCGCAAGGCATCAGGCTCAGCAGAAAACTCAGCGTGTTCGTGTTGGGCCTTGTGGGACGGAGGAAGATGCAGATGGGCCATCGGCAGGGGGGTGGGGGTTGAAGGATCTGCTTAGCGGATGCTTTTTTTTTTTTTTTTTTGCTTCAAGGACTTGGGGTTTCCTCTTCCTCTGCCCTCCATCCCTCACCTCCTCTTTATCCTCTCTCCATCTCCAGCTTTTGTATATCAGCTTTCATATATCTTTGTTTTCTTTCTGAGTCCCTGAGTCATCTCGTCTCTTTTGCCTACGCTTCCCCTCATGTCCAGATTTAGTCCTGATTTGTTTTTCACTTCATTCAGGCCTCATCTTTTACGCCTGCAGCCATCTCTGGAGATTACTTCATCACTGTGTGTGCATCCATCTGTTTCTCACCCTCTTCGTTATCTGTTTTCCTATACCTGTGTCTCTTATCTGTGCTACTTTCTCCTTCCTTCATCTACTGGGTTTTGAACAGATGTTTTTTTTAACTCATCTGAGAAAGTCCAGAAGTTCCAGAATAAAGTAGGAGGTTTTATTTGTTTCTTCAAGACCAGGAGGTTTTAATTGTTTTTTTTATGAATTTCAATTTAATAATTTTGTTTTATATGTTTTATAGGTGACATCACCCAGAAGGGATATGAAAAGAAAAGGACTAAACTGCTGGCTCCTTACATAATCCAGACTCCAGGTAAGAGATTTTTGTTCTTATTGTTTATTTTTTGTAAAGTGTACATCTTTGCAATCATTTTAGGTGTACTCAGTACAGGATTACCTTAGGTTTGATCTATTCTTTTCCCAGATTTTGTTCCAAATATCAGTGCATTTTTGTTCACATCCACATCTTCTTAAATTCTCTTTGTAACTCTAAGAGTGTTTCATGAGTAATGTAAGCTTAATGTAGATAATTTAAATAATGGTTGCTTTCATCAGATGTTGCTTTTTTACAATATAATATGTTTAAATTCACACAGCCGTCTCCTACAACATGAAGATACACAACATTAACCATGTTGCTCCAGTGGCACATGGTGGTAGGATATTTTATGTGTCTGTTCCTAACAGAAGTGCATTAGAAGTGGAAAACATGGAAGTTGACAGCTTTAATAAACTGTCAGAATCCTTCTTTATAAAAATATTAATTTTGTTGAGATTTTATCCCTCCACGGATCACCAGAACACTGTTGGTGTGCTGTTTTTAGTTATAAAGATTGTTCAGATTGTTTGAAGGCTGGTTGTCTCTGCAGCCACTGTAATGTGTGGTTTGTGTCAGTCACCAAGCACCAATCTGAGCAGCTTCACATTCGCCTCATTAAACACCGAGCTGATGTTATGCTCACAGTGATGTGTTGAAAACAGCAGACAGTTGTGTTATTCTGCGGTGGAGTTTTGCAGGTTAAAACCTGAGTTCTGTGAAGTCAAACAGTCTCATTTTCTGCTTCTTTGCTTCTCTCATAAGGAGTCTGTTAGGTTATTGGGCTTATTAAGAGGAGAGGAGGATAAATAACTCCACTCAAGTGTGACCCAAGTGACTCTAAACTGTGTAAAATCAAAAGTAATAAAGTTTAGATAACTGTCCCTCGCTGACAGATCACTGTGTGATGCAGTGACATTTTTATTTGCAGATTATTTGAGTTCTGATGGCGTCAGACAAAGTTTAATACTGTGTGTGAACAGCTGTACTTAAAGCTGTTTGTTAGTAGCTGAATTAGTCAGGAACATGTTAGTGCAGGTCTGAAATGGGCCTCTGGCTAACAAAACATTTTCTTCCTACACTTTATTCGTTAACTTGAAGACCTGAGTAGCTGCCGTTGAAATATTCTTTCATTATAGAGCATCCTTTATAGAAGTCGATACACCATCATTTATTTCTGATTTCATTTATGTAAAGTGACTTTGCATCAGTTTATGACTTGTTATTGGGCCTGCAACAAACTTCACATACAGTGTTATATTTGGGCTTCTTAAGGAAGTGTGGTTGGGCGATTAATTAATCACGATTAGCTGATAACGATTAGTATGATGATTAATCCCCTGGAGTTTCTAGACTCCCTCATATCCTAGTCACATGATCGATTTAAATCACTCTAGTGGGAAAGATTTGTTCTCTGTGAAAATCTGTTCCAAATTGTGTCAGAAGTGCAGACTTCCTGCTGTACATCAGTTTTTAAAATTGTGTTGATAGGCCAAGTAAAACGGGTGTTATGATAAATAAATTACAGAACTTTTCTTTTTTTTTTATTGTTCATTATATTTGAAGTGGAGAGGAGCATTGAGCGGACTGACCGAGGAAATCTCCGGTCAGTCTGCCTGGTGGCATTTATCATATTAATCATCAAGTGCCAAAAAATAACAGATTAAAGTTTCTGACGATTAATTGCATACAAATTGAACCCTATAAGGAAGAACAACTTTATCAGCTTCAATCTATCAAATTACCCTAAACTTGACATTATTGTATTGCTTTAGAGCAGTGTTTCCCAAAGTTGGGGTCGGGAMCCAAAGTGGGGTTCCGAAACATCAAGGTGGGGTCCTGAAAAGATTTTCTGGATTAATTACATTTTTTCCTTAGTTGTTACAAAGGAGTGAGGATAGTATACAGTATTTAAAATGGATAAATGTAGTATAAAAATATTGTTACTATGCCCATATTTAGTTGACCTGATACAAATGTTTATCATCCAAAAATAGCTGGGGCACAGGTCTCTGCTACTGTAGTTTTGTGGGTCAAAAGCTGAAAAGTTTGGGAACCAGTGCACTTTGGTTCCCAAAGTTGGGCTTGGGACCCAATTATGGGTCATAAAGCACCTTGGATAATCTCCAGAAGTCAATTTAAAGGGTAATAAAATAATTGCTGATCTAATATTTTCCCTAT